CAAATTGGCTGCACAGTAAAATTTCTGAGGGTCGGGGTTTGGGAAAAGCTTTAAAAATTGCCAGTGTCTTGGCCCCACCCTGACCAATTAGACCAGAATCTCTGCGTGCAGCCAGGGTTCCACCAGGCTGAAGGGACCAAGGAAACCATATCAGTACAGAAGGCAGGTGACATCCACATCTACCCCAGACTCTTTCCCAGACACCCTCAGGGACCTGTCCATGGTGCTCACATTCTTAGCCGGGAACAGAGGGGAGGGAAGTCAAACCTGAGTTGTCATGGCCGATCCTGACTTTCCACAGGTCTCCCAGGTCCAGGGTCTCCACTGTGAAGATTTCGATGCTGTCCCTCTCAAACTTGTCGCTGTTGGTCTTGGAGGATTTCAGGAGGGTCATTCCTGCCGACCACATGAGACCTTCAAACACAGTCTGATCACTTCTTTTTTTCTTTTTTTTTTTTAATTCTCGGGGTGGAGGGTAAGTAACTAGATTTGTTTCTTTGTTTATTTTTAATGGAGGTACTGGGGATTGAATCCAGGACCTTGTGTACACTAAGCATGCACTCTACCACTGAGCTATACCCTCCCCTTTTGACCACCTCTTTTGGTCTCTCCTCATAATGACCACATTTCTGAACTTTCATCATATTTAGACTGTGCAATTACCATCCACTGGGCATTTTTGGCACTTTGTGTGTGTGTGTGCCCTTTTATTGAGCTTTGCAATAACCCTTTGATGTATGTATTTTTATTTCCAGTTTGCATTTGAAAAAAGGAGACTCACTCAGAAATTAAGTGTCTTACTCAAGATCATCCAGGAGAAAATGGTGGAGTGCAAGTCACACAATTCAGGTTTATCCACATGGGGAGGAAGCCAGTGACAGAGTCACCCTCCCTTGATCCCAAGGGAAACAGGGGCTCCCCTGTTGGGATGGGGTATGTGGGAATTCTCTGGAGACTCTTCCTTGGAAGACAGGAGATCCCCCACAAGCCTGATCCATCTGGGACTCTGGGTGCAGTGTCGGTCTGAAATTTAAGGTGGTCTCAGGGTCCCTCGCCATCGCCTCCTGCCTCAGCATGCACCACATTGCCTTCAAGTCAGTCTCCTTAACCCGGTAAGTCCCAGCCCTTGTAGGAAGTCTTCTGGTAATCATAGACTCACTGTAGACTGGTTTCAGTCCACAAAGAGTCAGACAGATCTTGGTTCAATCATCTGGGTAGCCTTGGGCAAATTATTTAATTGTCTGAGAGCTGGTTTCTTCAAATGTCAAAAGGGGTGGTCTTGGTGCCTTCCTCATAGAGTTGTTGTGAGTCTTTAGTAAGACAGTGACTGTCAAATGTTCAAGAATGTGCCTAACACATAGAAATCCCTTGGCAAATAACAGCAGTTGTTAGGGCCCCTCAATTTCATTGACCATGGTTCAGTAACTACTCCGATGACATACATTTGTTAAGTTTTGACCAAGTTCACTCATTATATCTGTATTATCTAACCTATTAGATAAAATAATAAATGTTTTATTGAGTGTCATTTTGTCTCAAATATTTTACGTGTTCAGTTTCATTAAATCCACAACTCTATGCACTAGTTTAATCTCCATTTTACAAGTGGAGCAAACTAAGGCACAGAGAGGTTAAACAACTTGCCCAAGGTCACACAGCTAACAAATGGTAGAGCAGAAGTTTAAACCAATCAGTCAAGCCTGAGTCCCTGCGCTATCACCACACCACTGTATTAGCAAGTGGGCACCCCAAAGTCGGGGATTAAGCTCCTTCATTCTACAGCAATTCTTGGCACAAAGCTGCAGACCCACAGAATTTTGAGTACATACATGATGACCACTTGAGGGAATGGCTCTTCCCTCTGAACTCAGCAGAATGGCTGGTGGCCCAAGTGGATGGCTGATGCCAGCATTACATGCCCCCCTTCTCTGACTACCCTTGACCAAGATTCCAGAATGACTCCAAGATTCCTTGAGCATCTCATATTGAGAGTACCATGGACCCTACCGGCTGAATCTCATTGGAGGTTGGGAAGAGCCACCATTGCCCAGGTGGTTACTGAGGCAGACACAGAGATGCTTCTGTCTTTGGAACAGAAGAAGCAAGCTGGCAGAAGAGACCACTCACTGTTTGGATTGAGGAGCCCCTTCATTACAGTTTTGAAAGGCAAACAGAGTGACGCCTCAAGGAAGGGCACAGGAAATGGTGAAAACTTTCAGAAAGACCTGGACAAAGAAATCAGCCACCATTACATGGGGGAGAGGATATTGAAGGGAAGATAATTCTCATGGCTTCCAAACACTTGTAGGTGGGAGAGGTGGCAATGAGGGCAGGAGAGAGGGCAGGGCTCTCTGCCATCAGAGTGCAGTAGGACTGACTGAGTAAGAGTTTAGGAAGAAACTCTTAAAAGAATGAACATTCACAACCCAGGTAGACAAGTCACATCACCCAGAGATTTTTAAGAAAAATAGAATTGCCTTTCTCTGATGGGGCTGGTTGCATGCAGTCTTTCAAGAGTCAGAGGTATGCAGCAGCACCCAATGGAGAAAGGCTAGCCTCCTTAATAATGGCGGGGAAAATGGATCTCTACACGTAAAATAATTAATTTGCATCCATATCTCACACCATACACAAAAATCAACTCAAAATGCATTACAGATTCAAACGGAAGACCTGCAATTGTAACTCCTAGAATAAAAAGTAAAGGAAACACATCATGACATTGGTCTTGACAATGACTTCACGAATAGGACACCAAAAGCATAGGCAACAAAAACTCAAATTAACAAGTGGAACTACATTAAACTAAAAAATTTCTGCACAGCAAAGGCAATAATCAACAGAGTGAGAAGGCAGCCGACAGAATGGGAGAACGTATTTGCAAACCGTGTACCTGTGAGAGTTTAATCACCAAAACGTATAAGGAACTCCTACAACTCAATAACAAAATAACTCATAACCCAATTTAAAATGGGCTAGGGATTTAAACAGACATTTCTCCAAAGAAGACATAAAAATGTCCAACAGAGCATGAAAAAATGCTCATTGTCACTAATCATGAGGGAAATGCAAATCAAAACTACAATGAGATGTCATCTCACACACGTCAAGACGGCTACTCTCAGAAAAACAAAAGACAAGTGTTAGTGAGGATGCAGAGAAATTGGAACCCTTGCACACAGTTGGTGGGAATGCAAAATGGCGCAGTTGCTATGGAAAACAGTATGAAATTTCCTCAAAAAATTAAAAATAGAATCACCATATGAACCCACAATCCCACTTCTGGGTATATATCCAAAAGAATTGAAATCAGATTCTTGAAAAGATATTAGCACTCCCATGCTCATTACAGCACTGCTCACAATAGCTAAGATGGGGGGGGCGCCTAATGTCCACTGACAGACGACTGGATAAAGAAAATACAGTATACACATACAGTGGAATATTAATCAGCCTTTAAAAAGGAGAGTCTCCAACATGCAACAATGTGGGTGGTCCTTAAGGACATCATGCTAAGTGAAATAAGCCAGACGCAGAAAGACAAATACAGCATGACTTCATTTAAATGAAGTATCAAAGAGACATAAATCAAAGCCTGGAATGGTGGTTACCAGGAGCTAAGGATAGGAGGAAATGAGTTTTTAATCAACTGGCATAAAGTTTCAGGTTAATAAGCTCCGGAGATCTGGGGTACGACACATACCTATAGTCAACAATAATGTATTGTACATTTTGTCGACTGAAATAAATGCACAGCCTAAAACTTGAAAGTTACGTTTTATTCGGCAGGAGGACTCGAGCTGGGATGACAGCCTCTCAGATCGCTCTGAGAAACTGCTCCAAAGAGGCAGAGGAGGAGCTAGGATTTGCAGGAGGTTTACAACAAAGACCAGGTCAGGCAGTCAGAACATTAAAAGATTACTTGTTAACTGAAGAAAGCCAGACATCTCAAGTTAAAGAATTTAGCGCTTTTCTGTGTATGGGAGGAAGCAAACGTTTGGGCTCGCTGAATTCATTCCTTTGACAAGCACCTGGCTATCTAGGGCCAGTGTCCTGTCCTTTCTTACTGAGTCCCAGCAAAGCTCACCGCAGAGGCCGGGCTGCAGGCTTGTCTTCAGTGGAGGGTGGCAGCAGCGGCTGATGACTTGATGGCTTCAGCATTCTTTGTTTATTGATAAGGCTTGCAGTATTTTTTGCTCACAATTTAAAATTTGGTGAGAAGATACGTTGCATCTTAAATGTTCTTCCCACAATAAAATAAAATAAAATAAAGAGAATTTTTTTTTAACGTTTTCTTAATAGAGAGAGACAGAGGCATGACCAGGATTTCCTTGGAAAGTTCCACTGAATCTCCTAGTCTCCCCGGAAAGGAAAGTCTCAGTCCTGTATTGCTTTCTTACCAGTGTCATCTTGAGTGCCAAAGAGCGTGATGAAGACGTTGGCATCTGTGCCCGAGTTCTTCTTGTCCCCAGTCTTTATGGTCACTGAGAATGTGGTAGATTTATCTGCCAGGAGAAGAGCGTGAAGTGAGTGGTAGATTGCACCTCCCGTGAAGGGAGGAGGCAGAGAACTTCCTGAGCACTTTTCCATGCTCACGCTGACCATTTCTATAAGTCCCTTTACTGCAGCATGTGTTGTTCTGCAGCTGCCTTTAGTCTGGAAATTTTCTGAGGGCAGAGATGAGGCCCCCCACATCCAGCTCACATAGGAAACCCTCGTCAGTAAAGCTGTAGGATACTTAGGGAAGACTTGGGGTGACTGTGAGGTTCAGAAGCTCACCAACCAGGCACCCTGGCCTCACTCCTCCAGGCTGGGAAGTTTTAAGGATGCAAGTTTCAAGGAAGGGAGCACAAGCGTCATTGAACTATTGAAGGTCCATTCTTTCCCTTGATAGAAATATATTGAATCTATAATGTGCCCGGAAGAGAGGACATAAGACTAAGTCAGAACCAGCTGTAACCCATTCTGTCCTATTCTGTCCTTTTATTCTATTCTATTCTTTCTTTTCCATTCCATTCCATTCCATTTTATTCTAACCCATTCCATTCCAGTCCTGGCAACAACTTCATGCCAAGCCGTGTACTTTACACCCAGCCTTATGCCCCCTTCATCTCCCCATTCTTGCCATGGAGAGGTGACTGGATAAACTACCAGAGAAGGAAGTGCCCAGAGGTCCCAAGGGGAGGGAAGATGGAGACCTGGGGGAGTGAGGAGAGACAGAGGGGAGGTATGCTGGAGGAAAGAAGTCAGCTCTCATTTAGAAAACCTTTCTGCTCCAGGGCCAAGTTGTCAAGCGGGCTGCTGTCACCACCTCCCCCGCCCTCCTCATCCTCGCTTGGTGGCAGCACATAGGACTCGTCTACTGGCAACAGCTCCCTGGACAGCTGGCCGTCATCCTCCTCCACCGCCAGCCAGCGCTGGCATGGAAAGTAGTACCTGTGAGGATGGGGATGAGGAAAGGTTAAGACGGTCTCTTTGCTTGTTGTGTTTGTTTTATGAGGGGGTGGTAGTTGTGTTTATTCATTTATTTCCATTTGGAGGAGGTACTGGGGATTGAACCCAGGACCACATGCACGTCAAGCATGCACTCTACCACTTGAGCTACACCCTTCCCGCCACTGGGGAGGGCTCTTCGGAAAGGTCTCCTGAAGGAGTGGTCTTGGGGTGAGAAATGAAAGGACTTCATGGGGCCCAAATGCCCTGTCTCCCCAACCCGCCTCCGGCATTGCCCTCCCATCCTACCGAGCCTGGGAATCAGCCCCATTAGAGCCACTTGCCTGGGGCAGACAACACACATGAGGTGTGGTGTCCAGAAAGCCTGTTGAAAATGGCTGTGCAGCAGTACCTGGGCACAGCAGACCCTCAGTCAGGGTCATGTTGGAGGGACCTGGAAGAAGAGGGGCTTCTGGGGACTGTTCCTGCCTTTTCTAGAATCAATCTGTTAGCCAGAGCAGAGAGTATTGTACACAGCAGGTGCTTAATACCTAAGGATTGAATTTATGAGTTTTAATGGAATGACCCAATGATGCTTCTGGAAGGTACAAAGAGTATGGCCGAGGAGCTGGCACAGGAGACAGCTGGTACCATCCGAAGGGAGGTCAGAGTCAGACTCCTCAGTGTAGAGGCTGAACCCAGCACAACGGCAGGAGACTGCAGTGACAAAGGACTCGCCTCCAGAGCCAAACTGGGTTTGAATCCTGGCTCCGCCACCTACTGCCATGTGAACTTGAACAAGTTTCTTTACCTCTTTGTGTGAGGGTTGCTAGACTTAGCCAATAAAATCACAGGACTCCTAGTTAAATTTGGATTTTAGGTAAGCAATGAATGATGTCTCAGTATAAGTGTATTCCATCCAATATTTGGGACATACTTTTACTAAAATATTATTCGTTGTTTATCTGACATTCAAATTTAATTGGCGATTCTGCATTTTATTGGGTAACTCTCTGTGGAAAGAGGATAAAATTACCTTTTGCATAGGTGGCTGTGAGAATTACATGAGTTAAACATTTTTAAGTGCTTAAAAAATGCCTGGCTCCTGGTGTGCGTTCTTGGTTAAGAATTCACTAATACTCTTGTGCTTGTTATTGTCACTATTATATTTCCTTTCTTTCTCTCCAGCCCATGCCTGGGATCTCGGGAAGCTATGGGCTGGACAGTTCCCACGGGATCCCTAAGCTTCCAGAACAGCTCAGCAGGTCTGGGAATGCAGCCTGTCTCTAAGTTGGGGCTGTTCCACCACTGTCCAGATGCATAAGCTGCATTCAGGGACTGGTCGAGGTCTGGAGAGGTGGAGCATCTCTGTCTGGGCTCCATATCCCCCCACAGCCCTTACTGCCTTCCCGTGTCAGCACGTTAGAGCAGCAGCACCAGAGAGCGCCCCCCATGGGCTCGATAGGACACAGAGAAGCAACCGTGCATTTAATTAGTTGTTGATTTAAAGGGTGGGAGGAACTCAACCTAGGGAGATATAAACTAAATTGCTGTGAAATTAGTGTTTAAGTGAAAAATGAATATTGTTCCACTTCTCAGCCTTTAAATGCCTGAATGGGAAAGTTAAATTTTTGTTCAATCAAATAATTTATGAATAGTAGTCTTTTGTTCTAAATTACAGCCAATTAAGGGAGAGAGAGAGAGAAATAAAGAAAGGAGTGGGGTCGGGACCGAGGCGGAGACAATGAGAGTGTGGGAGGTTGGAGGATAAGGACAGAGGGAGAGAGACGCATAAAGAAAGAGTTGGGAGACTTATTCCGGGAAAGAGAAAAAAGTCAGGAAGACCAAAGAGGGAGGGGACAAGCCCTCCCACACCTGTGAAGAGCGCATGCGTGTGGGGAATCAGGGGCTGGCTTCTTGGTGCCCCCATCCCTGCCATCCCTGAAACACCTGCACTGAGACATTAAAGCCCCTCTGCGTGGCCCCAGCTGCAGCATCCCAGGCAGCTCACCTCTGGATCCTGCTCCCTGGCCGGGAGGGCAGGAGCCAGGACCAGCCTGAGTACTGGGCATCCAGCCTCTATCTCCACAGCTCCAGCAAGCACCTGCTGGGTGCAGAGGACTGAGCCCCTTCCCCTTTCTCCCACAGGAGTAAATCCTGCTCAAGCAGGTCTGGGGAGAGGAGTCAGTGGGATTTTTTTAGGAGCAAAGGAGAAGAAAGACATTTGGGTGTTCTGGGTAGGTAGGCCCACCACTTCACTTAAGCAAGGGCCACGGAAGGAAGAGCCAGGGCTTGATCAGCAGGAGGTTTACACTGAGCATTGAAACAAAGCTTGGGGCCACCAAAAGTACGAGTTTCACTTGAACATGAAACTGGAATGAACAGATTGCAAAACTGACATTTGTAAAATGTATATAACATATGGCCTTTCCCATTTTGTGCATGGAGACTGGAGCACGTCAAGTACAAGTCTACTGGTGACACTGGTAGAGCAGTGTGGCTACAGACTGTGGCTCTGGGACTCAGGAACTTCGGGCTTGTGCCTCCAAGTATCCCACCGTTTCTGTCATGTGTTCCAAAATCCAAACATTAGAGCCTCACAGCTTTGGCTGTGAGAAGGACTTGGAATTTTTAACTCCTTGCTATTCAGCTCTGGGCTGAATAGGCTCTCTAAGGGCCAGGGCACAATTTGACACATCTCCTTCCACTACAGGGATGCGCGTGGAAACATAGACTGGGGGAAAGCCTCCACCAGCCTGAACCTCTGAGTGATCACAGGCGCGAAGTCCCCTGATGCCCTGCCCTGGGCAGGCGTTATGAGCAAGAAATAAGCTTCGGTGGTGTGAGGCCACTGACATTTTAGGCTGCTTGCTATTTCGCAGAACTTCGCCTATTTTGACTGATATGACTTGAGATATCAATAAATGGACACTCAACGAATGTTCTCAAATAAATGGTCACTGAAGTGATGAGAACAGAAGAGGTTGCCAGGAGCGTTTATTTCATTGTCTGTCTCCCCTGTTAGGCAAACCATATGCCCCATGAGCTCAGGGTCTCCTCACTCGCTGCCGTGTCCACAATCCCTGACATGTATGAGCTCCCGCAAGTATCAACAGAATCAGGAGGCGTCACCTCTCCAGGTGAACAGCTTTCATTTCCATCTTCATCACTCCTGCCATAACTCTTACATTTTTTAATCAGCTGCCATCCTTTTCTTGAAGACACACTTCCTTTCCTCTAACAGTCCCCTTAAAATGTGATGCCTCAAGCCAAGCCAAGGCTCCAAGAATTGTCTGAGCAGAGCAGAGCAGAGGAGGAGGACCAGTATCAACTTGTTCCAAATGTGATGTGGCTGTCAATACGAAAATCAATCTGACACTTTTTTAAACCATCATTTTCTCAGAGTGGCCTGGGGTGGGTGGATCCTCCCAGGCTAGAGGAGGCAGGGGGAAGTCCACAGATAAATTTTCCCAACCTTGCAATTTTCTCCCCACCCAATGGATGAAAGGGATCCTTTTATGAGAGGATGTGAGTCTGGGTGTGGAGCCCCAGTCAACCAGTGAGAGACCTCAGATCCCAGGAAAGCCCACTCAAAAGCCATCCACAGCTGCAAAACACCATTGAAAAGGCTTTCCACGTCATTTGATCGCCTCCTGCCAGCTTGGAGCTCCTCTTAAGGACCTCAGGCACTTTCTATTAGGAAAAAAGGGTTTTTTTGACAATTGAATTAGATTTACATCAATTAACCTTCTGCACCCCTTTCTCCTGGTATTTCCACCTCACACTCAGCTGCTCTCCAGAGCAGTCTTGGTGGCCAGAAGGGCTGAAGGTGGTCCTGTGGTGGCTCTGCTGGGTGCTATACATCTCTGGACATCAGAGCCTCTGCAACACTCTGAGCTCTCCCTGGGTGACCCCACAGTGGTGGCAGGGACTCCGGACATCACATCCCCTCCTAAGCCCTTCTGCTCAGGCCAGCTTCTCCTGCGGATGCCGGACAGCACCTGACCAGGGGATGCTGAGGATGGAGAGGTGGGGTCTGACTCCGCTTCTGACGAGGCGGTGATGGACTGGGGGTGGGGCGTGAACAGCAGAGAGGAGTAAAGGGCAGCTGGTCCGCATGGAGGCAGGTAACTGGGTCCAGGGTAGCCGAGGGATGAAGTCAGTGCTAACTTATCCTTTTGGCTGCACGGCCTTATTAAGGCCCCAGGGGAAGATGATACTCTGCAGGAGAGAGCAGATTCACTGCTCAGATTCTGTTTCCTATGAACGTCCATAATTTTATGTCTACACCCCAGAGTGGGCTTTGCTCAGAGTCACTCTCAGCTTCCAAACGGTTGGAGCCAGCTCATCACAGGGCCCTCACTGCTGCTCCAATACCAAGGAAGCAAAGAAGAGTCATCACACAGCACCGACAAGGAGGGGTAGCGAAAGAAGAGGAGGGGAGCGAGGAGCGGAGGAAGGAAGCGAAAAGAGAAGCAGAAGGGAAGAGTTGAGAGGAGTAACGAGAAGGTTCCATTCACAAGAGTAATAAACATATACATCACTTGAGCATAAACACAACAAGAATGTGCAGTCTGTGTGTAGAAAATGCACTGCTGAGATCCCTCAAGAACACTTGGGTCGACGGAAATGTGTGCCGGTGGGGGGCACTTCATACTCTAAATAAGCAATTCTCTGCAAAACAATCACAATTCCAACAGGATTTTTTTTTCAAATCATTTAATACCTTGATTTGAAAAAAGGTAAGATTAGCTAACATTCTTAAAAAATCATGAAAGAGGACATGTACTGACAGATGTTGAGATAGATTATAAAGCTACGATAATTTAAAAATTGTTGGGCTGGCCCAGAAATGCCAAGTCAACAGAACAGAGTTAACTGATGCTAATCAAGCTGAAAGGGGAAGCTGGGGATGTTGACAGTTTGTCCCTGTCTTCACACTCTTTGCAGCACGTTATCCTGTCCCAGTCTAAATGCCTTAGGTTTTGAGAACATCTGGAGACGTTTTAAGTTGGGCTAGCATCTTTAAGCCCATCTTCAAGATGGAGCAACTTGTCAGGGTGGGAGGGTATAGCTCAGTGGTAGAGTGTGTGCTTAGCATGCACAAGGTCTTGGGTTCAATTCCCAGTACCTCCCTTAAAAAAATTAAACAAATAAATAAATAAAACCTAATTACCTCCTCCCCCAACAAAAAAAAACCCCAGCGATTTAAGATGGAGCAACTTGTCCAGGGTGACTAAGGGCAGAGGATCCTCCCCAGGTCAGGACTCTACTTCCCAGCCATGGCTTGGCGCACAGCCCTTTAGAGCCATCACGGTGACCTTATGGAAATCCATGACATCATGTGTGAGCTGTGCCTGTGTCCCTATCTAGAGCATATCTGGGCTAGTGGGGCAAGGTGGAGGTGGGAGATGGGGTGAGCCCCATCAGTACTTGCCCTGCATAGGGTCGAACCCAAGAAGAGGTCATGTTCCTAGAGATATGTTGTTTAATTCAACAAATACTTATTTATCGAGTGCCGGATACATTTCAGGCACTGGCAGGCCCTCCACAGCTCCATAACCCACTCAAGATCTTGCCTACATTCCCCTCTGCCTCCCTTGGCCCTTCCCACCACAGCTCCGGGCCTTCATGTCTATTGCCCCTTGGCCCCTCTTGCCCAAAAGGCAGCGTGGCCTAATGGTGGAAACACACCAGCTTCATCGCAGATGGTCTAGAGTTCTGGTCCTTGCTCTGGCACAAATTCACCCTAGGGCTGCAGCTTCACCTCCCGGGTGTGGTTCCTTTGCCTGTCAGAAGGACAATGTTCCCTTCCCACCCCAGCTCCTGGTGGTAGCTGTGAATCTGGAGCAGGGCCAGCAAACCATGACCCATGGGTCAAATCTGGCCCATCACCTGCTTCTGTACATTCCCCAAGCAAAGTGTAGATTTTATATTTTTAAGTGGTTGAAAAAAATCTGAAGAACAGTATTACTTTGTGACATGTGAAAATTACATGAAATTCAAGTTTTGAGGTCCATAAATTAAGTTTCGGTGGAACACAGCCACACCTACTCACTTAGGTATCATTCATGGCTGCTTTTCTGCAGGAAAGGCAAGGCTGAGCAGTTGTGACAGAGACCAAATGGCCTTGAAAGCCTGACATATTTGCTATCTGGCCTTTCCAGAGCAAGTTTGCTTATCCCTGGTCTAGAACATTATAACAATGTCCTAGAAGTCACTTCATACATGGAGAGACTTATGGGTATGAAGTCTGGGCATGGAGACAGGACCACAGCAGGGACAGAAAGCCCGACCTTCTGAAATGATGCAGGTCAAGAACCAGATTGGATGTTCTACCAGACTGTCACCTGTCAGGGCACGCAGCTGCAGGGGCTGTCCAAGGAGAGGGACGGGAGGGAGGAACGCCCACCCAGCCAGCTCCATGGGCCAAACCCATGTCAAAGCCACCCCCACCCCCTCCCTCACTCATCACAGCCACCCCACCCCACCCTACTTTCCATGACTCTCCCTCCCTCCCCTCCAGCCCCACTCACGTGATCTCATTGTTCATGTCGGTGATGTCGATTCTGTCCAGGAACCAGCCTGGTCTGTTGCCCGAGTTGTCATGGCGAATCCGAACCTTGGTCAGGGCCCCCAGGTCAATGGCATAGATGGTGAAGGTGTCTGTCTGAGAAGGGTCAGGGTAGCACTCAGGGGATGGCAGCCTTCCCCACCTTGCCATCAGCTTCACCCTCCCAGGACCTGGGGCAGCCTGAGGCCGGCTGTAAGACCCAAGGCATTACGGTGGGGGGCATGGAAAATGCAGCCAGTTGTCTTGTGTTTGCACTGCTGGTTTCTGTTTTTGTTCTTGTTTTTGAGTTATCATAAACATACAAAATTGTATTAGTTTCAAGTGCAAACATAGTGGTTCAATATTTTTATACATTATGGAATGATCACCACATAAGACCAGTTACCATCCTCATCACAGAGGTGTTACTACATTAATGACTATACTCCCTATGTGTATTACATCCCTGTGACTTATTTATTTTACAGCTGAAAGTGTGTGCCTCTTAATTCCCTTCACCAATTGCACTATTGTCTTTTCACCCACCCCTGCCAGGGGGTCCTCCTGTGTCCCAGAAAGTGGAGGGAGGAGTAGGAGGCTAATGAAGGTGACCATGAGAGGGGGCAGAGGAGAAGACAGGTTGGCTGGACCATTGCATTTGTGTCTTGGGGTATGTGTGCCTGTTGCTTGGGTGTGCACTGAGACCATGTGCTTGTGTGCACATATGTGCATAAACTCTTTCAACCACAAATTTTGATCAAATACTTACTACGAGCCAAAGTGCAAACCCCAACTGATTGACAGAATTCAAAGTGTAAGAGTTGGACTTGCTCACCATTTAGGTGGGAAGAGAGAATGTTTATGACCCAAATGTATGCATGTGCACTGGACGAGACAGATGACACCAGGACGAGACAGATGACACCAGGACGAGACAGATGACACCAGGACCCGATAAGTAAATGGGGTCATGTTGGTTATAACTTTTCAAACTATTTATATTGAAAAGCATTCCAAATCTACAGGAAATTTACAGAAACAGGACAATGAAATTTTGTACACCCTTCACTTAGATTTTGCAACATTTGCTTTCTCTCTCATTCTCTCTTGCTCTTTCTCTATTTTTTTTCTGAATCATTTGAAAATGTATGGCAGGTATCATGCCTCCTCACTCCTAAATTCTTCAGCGTAGATTTTCTAAGAGCAAGGACATTCTCATAAAATCACAGTACAATTACCAAATTCAGGAACCTTAACATCAACACAATACTATCTAACATACAGTGCATAGTCAAATTTTATCAACTGTAACAGCAACATCCTTTATAACAATTTTCTTCCAACACCAACCATCATAGAGGCCATAATTTTTAAAGGAAAGGACTGAAACACAGAAATAAACCCTGATCCTCAAGTCATGGGAAGGTAATGTCAAAAGAAAAAGCAGGGGACATCTGAAATAAATCAAGCAATGAGTCCAGAAGTATTTTTGTGTTGTTGTTGTTTTCAAGTTTTTTTGGGGAAGAGGGTAGGTAATTAGGTTTTTATTTCTTTATTTTAATGGAGGCACTGGGGATTGAACCCAGGACCTAGTGCATTGCTAAGCACCACTGAGCTATACCCTTCCCCCTTCAGAAGTATTTTTAGTGGGTTTGGTTTATTTCTGTTCTTCTGGGTTGAAGAGGGACTCTGGCTTTGGTTCTCTGGCAGAAATGGGAAAGGTGAGATGGAGGACAGTCTTTTGGCCAGAGGACATTGTAAAATCTCAAAAGACATGCTTTTCCTACTCTACCTGGAGGAGGGAGGTGCACGCATTTCTTTTAATTCTCAAAGCCTTCGGGGCTCCCACTGCCGCAGGATGTAGATTCGGCTTCTCAGCCTGTCTTTCAAGCCTCTCATGCCCCTTCCCATCCCTTAAATCGGTCCCAGTAAGCTTCCCAGAGGCAGCGCCCTCCATGGCTTGGCATTAACTATAGCATAGCAAATAGACCCACTGTCCTCCAACTGGCCTTCCACACTTCCACCCCCACGTCTTTGTTACGCAATCCCATCTTCAGAAAATACCTCTTGCTGTCATCT